TTTTGCAAAAGAACAAACAAACGAAAAATTTATAAAATAAATAGTCCTTGATTATTTTAAATCTAAGTAACACCAAATTTATCGATCCTATTCAGGCGAAACCGGAGTTGAAAAAAATATAGCACTTTTGTAACACATCGATATAAAATAATTATTTCGACCTGATTACGGTAAGGCAGGTACGTGTTTATTAACAACATATTTATTAAACTAAGACAATTTTTTTCTATATTTAATAAAGTCTGTTAAGGAAAATAAAGGCCCACGACACATTTTAGTCATCAAAATAGACTTCTCTAAAAGAAATGTTATAATCTTCTCTTTTTTATTGTACGAAGGCACAGTAGACAGGAAAAGAGATAAGTAATATTATCTAAGTAATCACACAACTTAATCTGAGTAAAACAAAACTGTGTGATGAGCATGTAGTTGGGCAATATATTCGCTTCGCATGACTAACCCACGTACTTGTAATAGTGTCCTAAGTAATGGCCGCTGAAATACCACGCCCTACCAAGCATTCTCCACTCAGGCTTTAGACTAATTCGGCTGTCAGTACACGATAGCGCTGTAAGCTGTCGTGTAAAGTCAAAAATCTGACTTTTTTATGAAAACGTTAACATTGATTCTACTGTCGGTGTTCAGCAAGGTGACCCACTAGATACAACTCTTTTCGGTTTGGAAATTCAACCTATTATTTCAAATTTAAAATTCAATCTGAATGTGTGGCACCTGCACAACGGTCGCTGTGAGGTAAAGCAGATGACGCCCTCAGTGATCTTACTCATATTCATCAAAATTTTAAAATTATTGATCTTTAATCAAATGGCAATAAATATGAAATATTTATGTCCAATAATTTTTCTAGCTCTAGCAGAGATACTTTACTTCAAAATTTTAATCTCCAGGAATAAAAACTGCCAGTGCGGAATCGTTATACCTGTTAGGTGCCCCGTTGTTTTTCGATAGTTTTAAACCTGTTTTAAAAACAAAATTTGATTGAGTCCAGTCTAGAAATTTTCAGATATTTTAAAGGATTTTGATAACAAACATAAAATAAATTTAGAAAATATTCTAAATTTAACTTCAAATGTAACAGCCTGGACTCGAGCTACTTCACCTATAAAATTTGGCGGCTATTGGTGTAGGAAATCTTTCTAGCGTTGCATTGCCTGCTTTCTATACTTCCGTGCAAAGTGCCAATGACTTATGTAACATAATTTGAAATAATAAAGTAGACTTAGTATAATATAACCTAATATAGCTGCACCATGGCTCTACCACGTAGAGCCATGCTGCAGCTATATTAGTAGTATAGTTGTAGCACGAGTGGGTCGGCTAGACTGGGGAAGGACCATGCTCTCACAGAATACCAGCGTAAAATAGCAGCTTAACGCTGTTATGTTTCGTATGGTGAGTGTAGAGAAACGGAGACCCTTTTTACTGGAAATGAGGCATTCCATCTTAGTCCTCATGGGTGACAACGCATCTGCATTTTGATTTATAATGGAGAATAGATGTAGATGTCTAGGGGCAACAGCAACCACTTACCATCAGGTGGAATATGTGCACGTTTGTCACCCTTATCCTATATTAAAAAAAACCTATGCTTTGCTCCAGAGGTAAGACAAATATGGTTAACGCTCTCTCCCAGCGAAAATATTGCAACGAAAGTTAAGTTACAAAAACAGTGTGATAATCAGTTAATACAGAGAGTGCAGAGAAAATATTTATTTTACAATTTCCACAGTTAACAAGATCAAGCCTCCCTTCTGTCTGTTTCGATTAATACTTACTAGTTTTACACTTTACCATTAAGTAATCTCAGCAAATTTCCGAGTTTACTTGATAGGAAAGCTTGTGCATTGCCGTAGGAATCCGTCTTGTAGCAGCAATTTGTCAACCTTACCAGTGACCATGTGGTAGCAGCGTCGACGAGTTTGTGCTCCACGGACTATCATGTAAGGAAAGTGCAGGTAGGTTTTCCCGTCATGGTTATTTAAACGAAGTTATCCGAAGAGCTCTTGTCACAATAAATATTCCCTCGGTTGTATAGCCTTAAGGAATATTTAGAGATAATGGCAAGATACCGACGGTATGACTTTGGTCACTTGAGAGAGAGGTAAAGCCCTAGTGTGGGATGCTACTTCCGTAGATACTTTGGTGACCTCTCATTTCAAGGGTACCAAGTTTAGAGCGGGGGTGGTATCAGAGGCAGTTGAATTACGTCAGTGGTGCAAATATAATTATTTGAGTGATAGCTGAATATTTGTGCCATTTGCTGTAGAGACTATCGGTCCGTGGAGTTCACAAGCGAAGTTCTTAAAGAAATTGTATCCACGACTGGTCGTCGGCTAATAAGAGGGCTGGTTCTTTTCTCGTTCAAAGGAAAACTATAGCCATTCAGCAAGTAAACGCAGCCAGCGTTTTTGGCATAATACCACTGGGCAATTTAAATTTTTAGTTTTAGTTTTTCTTTATTATAGTTTTTTTTATGTTTTTTGAAACCTTTTAGTTATATTTAATTTAATTATCTATATAATCTCTGATAGTCCAGCAGCACTGCTAGCACTCGAAGCTAGTTGGAGACTGCGTGAATCGTCTAAACGTCCTGTAATGTAACAACAGGATATAACATTAAGGTGGGTTCCAGGTCACGCGGTTATTATAGGCAATGAAATTGCTAACAAGCTTACACGGGAGGATTCAAAGAGCGCACAATTGGGACCCGAGTCATTTTGTTGAATTTCAAATAGCCTAGCCCGATTGGACCTTGGAAGCCTTTATAAAATACTTAAGATGTGGTCTGATACACCAGACTTAAAACATTCAAAAACCTTAATCCGGACTTACGATCGTAAATTCGCTTCAGATTACCTGGGATTTGGTAAGAATAAACTACGTATTCTAGCAAGAACCCTGATTGGACACTGTTGTCTTAAAAAGCACATATCAGTTATGAGACTAAGCAACTCAAGGATGTGTCGGTTCTGTTCGCTTAATATATATATATATAATAAACACTCATCTAGGAAACTATGTACCCCGCTCAGCAGAAGTGAAAAGCAACTCCTTCTATTTATTGAAGACATAGGGCTTAGCAATAAACTATAGCCATAGCTTTGATCATAATAGATCTTTTAGGTCACAGTGATAGTGGTCTTACTTGACCTGCATAGCTGCTCACACAAATTAAAAAAATAGAATATATTATATACTATGTTTCAACAATCTAAATAATTTCTAATTCTTTACACACACACACACATATATATATATATATATATATATATATATATATGTGTGTAAAGAATTAGAAATTATTAACCTGACTTACGAATAAAAAGACATTAATATATATATATATATATATATATATATATATATATATATATATATATATTAATGTCTTTTTATTCGTAAGTCAGGTTAATAAATAAACAGCAGTGGAGTTTCTGGTTGTTTGAATACGGTAGGAAAATTGAGACAAGCTTAAATAATCGCAAGATGTGACGTAATCAAGCAGCCTAAACGGAATGTCCGGCTTTGTGTTCGTCAATCCCGTCAAATGTGGAGATTATGGCATTATCTGATACATAGGGATAGAATATTAGAAAATTTCAAATTATTTTGCAGAATATGTATTTATTAAATAAGTATAATTTACGTATGACTAGTAAATAATTCAACTGATTACATCAGTTTGTTGTTTTTAATAAAAACGGATAGTGACTGAATGGATCGAATTAATTCCGATGGTGGCAATGTTTGATTTAAAATTTTAACGAAATCTATCTAAATGCTAGGTGATCTAACAGTCTTCAATCCAGAAGTTTCCGGACCGCTATGACACAGGGACTTTGAAGAAATGATCAAAAAAATGAGCCTACTCTTTCCTCATAAATTGGCAACGCATGTGCTATTTTTGTTGTGTTGTAGGATGTACATGGGCAACGATGATGACTATCGCATTATAAATAACTGATGGTCCTAAGTATGTTTGCTTGCATTATGCCAATATAGAATTGAAGCAGCGTATTGCTTTTACCTCGCGGGATTTGCGGTAACCACAAAGTACTTTAGATATAATGCAAAGTGAGCGATAACGCAGCTTGGGAACACTGACTTGAGCTCAGACTAACCTATTTTTTATTCTTTGAGATCTGTATATCGACTTCCATTATTTTTTTATTTATGATTTTATTATAAACTACCTATTTTTTATTCTTTGAGATCGGATTTTAATATTTATTAAAAGTTAAATATTATGGAAAGGCCTATGTTCAGTCAAGACTTGAAAAACGCTATTGAAGTGACGTACCTACGCACAATCTCAAGGGTATTTTGGATAAGAAACCAAAAAGCGGTAAAATATTTCCAGTTTATCAAAAGTTTCAGTTTGTCAAAACGAACGGCAGTTTAATGTTTATGTAAATTACAATGTCAAATTGAAATTCTAAAGAGTAGGTGTGAATTGGGGCTTCTGCGTCAGTTGCTCTCGCTTCGCTCGAGCTACATGCCGCTTAAGACCCCAATTCTCTCCAGTAGATGTGCAAAATTTTTAGTTTTACCAAATTAACGTCTACATACTCACAGTTCTATCCTGCGGGAACAAGTGTACTTCCACTTCCAGTTGAGTTATTGAGCATTACATTCAGAGCGTTTGGGAGATACTGATGGTATTGCCACATCTATATGATTAATTTCTAATAATACAACTTGTTTAGCCTAATTTCATAGTGCTTAGTGCAAATAAACGTTTTGAAGCTATTGCATAGCTTTTATCGTGGACTTTGAGCGCGGCTACCGAATCAAGAAATTCCGTTACGAAAAAAAAACACCTAAGACCCGAAAACCTAACATCGTAAATCCATTACAATAAAGATATTAATTAATTTGTAGCCATCCGCTAACTAAATACAATGATGTGTCTTACCTGGATTGAAGAGCGTCTCCCACCCTCCCTCAATTGTTTCATTATTGTTTTATTCTTAGAGCGAATGCGCGTTGATTACAACGCTCGTCAAATATCATCTATATTGGTGAGTTTTATCATTTTTTTTACTAATTAGAAATTCAGCCGCCATTACCTTTTTTTTAACTTCATACTTTTTTTTGTTAATTACAGATTATGGCCAACACTGAGGAACACAATGATTCTAATCCTATCACTAATCCGTATTACTATGCACAGGAGGTGGATAAATTTACACTAAATTATTACAACCGAAAGGAGCAGCTTCACGATTTACCACCAAATAGAATAGCTATTAATGAAGAGCGGCAATCGAAATCAAAGAAATGTTACAGGAAGAGAAACCGCTCTCAAGAATCATCATCATCATCATCATACATTATCCGCCGAGATAAAGATAAACGAGGTCATCGTCTGATTAAAATCAGAATTTGCGAACTTAACGAGCAAGAGGAAAATGTCATCCGCGATCTTAGTGCTAATATAAGTGTTTAATATGTTGTGGATTCAATGTATGACGAAGTGTTAGCTGCTACAAATTGTCTTATAAAAAAAAAATGTGAAAAATTATGTAAGAACTAGTAATTTAATTAAAATAGCTTGTAAAATATAATAAAAGTTATACATTGAATTTTATTGTTGTTTTATTATGTATCATTATTATTCAATTGTGTAGAGGAAAAAATAAAAGACATTTATTGTTACAACGAATGTATTTATTAAAACTAAATATTTCGATTTTCGACTTTATCTTATTTATTTATTTCATATATTTGCATAAAACATGGACAGATAAGGATGGTACAATTCTTAAAGCACAACATGTTTTGCTATGTGATTGTGATAGCATGCAAATTTCTCTAACTGAATATCTGAATTTAAAATTAAATGTTTGTTTTTATTTCGATTTTAACTGAAAGCAACAACACTAAAATATAGATCAGCTTATTATAATAAAATATAGTTATGATTTAGAATTTCTTTATTTTATTATTTTTTTTATGGTTCATTATTTCGATTTTTGATTTTATCTGAATTTGAATTTAAATGTTTTAGTTTTTATTTCGACTTTAACTGAAAGCAACAACACATAGATAAGTAACACTGATTAAACTCAGTTTATTATAATAAAATATAGTTCAGATTTAGAATTTCTTTTTTTTTCTTATTTTATTTATGGTTTATTATTACGGTTTTCGATTTTTATCTGAATTTAAATTCATTATTTCGATTTTCGATTTTTATCTGAATTAGAATTTAAATGTTTTAGTTTTTATTTCGATTTAAACTGAAAGCAAACAACACATAGATAAGTAACACTGATTAATCTATTAAACTAGCCCTTAGTTAGATACAAAACTGAACGAACGTTGTGATAATCTTCTTTTATGCATGATACCAACTGAGTAACAGCCTTCCACGTTGGGGTTTTCTCATCGACAGCTGATTTAAAGCTGATCAGAGAGTGCTGCCAGCGGTCGGTGGTTGGAATAGCCTCCAGCTCGCGGAAGTTAGCGAAACGCACTTCGATGTAATATTCTATTCGCTTCGAAAGCTCGCTCCGGTGCATATATCCTGAACTTGTTCGGTACAATAACTAGCTTTTTAAAATACCCGCTCGGATAGATTTAGAATCTTCATCCTGAATACAATAAAAATACTATTTAAACAAAAGCATACTGATAAGCAATGAACAATATTTATATTCCCTTCTACCCCGCATAAATATATTTTATACGATGCTCATAACATGACTTAGTAGTACGATTCACTAACGATTGTATCAATCACATCCATCGTCTAAGAATATAATTAAATACGTTTTCATAAAAAAAATTAACCTATGACTGCTAATTTATTCACAACATCCAATCAAATAGAAACTTACTTTTCATCACGCGAATGGTAACTTAAACTATTAAAATTAAATAAGATTTGCTTATCTCAGAATCTGGAAAAACTTTTAATTTACGTTCCTGCTGGTCGAAGCTGGGGTGAGTGATGATGATGTATCAGCTTCAGATTCCGACTCGCTTCCGAATAATTCAACTCGTTTCTTGGACTTAGGAACTGTTGTTTTGGTCTTTAATACATTAGCTGGTTTACTGTACTTCAGCGTTTGACTCGAAGGGGTTGGAATACCTGAAAATGTAACACAAAATATATCACTATACAGAAACACTCATATAAAAAACTTATAAAGCGAAACATAATATAACAAATTAATTATTATTCTATTGTGTTTAAGTGAGGAGACTAAGTGTTATGTACATACTTGCTGTCTTGATGATGATGATGTTGAACACTTCCAAGTCTAGTAAACTGCAGAAAACACGATGCAACTAATTGTGGTTAAACACCTCCCGACACCATATTTGATACCCTAAATTATAACACTATCCCCGCTTGGAAGTATTTCAGTTTGACGTATTTTAAAATGAAGAAATATTTCATTTGGTAACTTTAGCATTGATCCGTATTAATGTTATTTTTAAGGAATATTTTTGCTTATTACCATTAAATGCTCATATGTGAAAAACAGCATAAATTTTTGCATACGATGTTTAATCAACGTTTGCGTTGTCAGCCCGAAACACCATTGTTTTTACAGGTAAAAGCGTGATTTCACAATAAAATGGAAATGGGTCAGCATATAGCGGTCAATGTACTTATTAAATTGAGATCCATTATAAATATATCTTTGTTTAAAATTAATGCTTTTTGAAGAAAAAAAATTACAATTTTCAATCTTTAACTGAATTTTAAACTATTCGTAATATATCTAGATAGTATATAGTCCGGAATAACACCCAGGCGTTTGTTGTAAAAGTGTATATATTGCCTACCCATAAATTAATTACTAACTCTACAAAGTATAAAAAACTGGTATTACAAGCTTATGTTTGTTCCTAGTGTTTAAAAATGAACATATTTTTTTTTCTTATGAAAGTCATAAATATATTTCCATGCTAAGTTAATATGTTTATTTCCTTTGTGTCTAAGGGACTCTTTACAATTTTAGTTTTAAATCATCCGTATGCCTATCTTTTGCAAACAAATATGACTTTGATGTCAGTCGCTTTATCCCATAGTAAGATTCCATAAGACATTACGCTATAAAAGTAACTACATGCTTATCTTATTAATTACGTTTGTTCGTGGTCATTGTAGAAGCGTGCTCGTCGCGACCCCTGCCAGCCCTTTTCAAGGCTGCAATTCTACTCAGCTGCGCACCCATGCCAACGAGGGTTAGGGCGTCCCCCCAAGGCGATGCATACCAGCTCGTCCCCGTTGGTGTGGAATGCAGCGCGCAAAGCGGCAATGGGGACCGCCACCCGTCACGCACAGCCCGACACGGCGGAAGGTGGAGGACAGAGTGCAGAGTTGGCACGTGGAATGTTAGAGGAGGCATGAGAGATAAGACGAATGAGTTGATCGAAATAATGAAAGAAAGAGAATTAGATGTCGTGTGTATGTCGGAGACAAAACGGAAGGGCAGTGGTACTGAAGAGCTCCCTGGCGGGGCGTTAGCTCTATGGTGCGGAGTTCCGGAGAGCGAGAACGCCTGCGAGGGAGTGGAGGTGATGCTGTCTTCTCGGTTGGTCGATGTTATGACTGAATATAAGGTTGTGAACTCAAGACTTCTCTGGGTTCGCTTAAATTGGGACTGACGAAGTTATTCCTTTTGGCTGTTTAGTAGGCCGGTAGCTTCGTCGTCCAGGGCTGAGCTGGAGGAGTTTTGGGAGAATGTAAGAGAAGTTCTAGATTTGGCTAGGGGAAACGAAAGAATTGTTGTATGTGGTGATTTGAATGGATGGGTTGGTACCGCTCGACCAGGGTACGAGTCCGTACTTGGAAAGTTTGGCGATAAAAGGGTTAATGATGCTGGCAAGCTTATACTGGCGGTATGCAAGGAAAAGGGTCTTCTTGTGACAAACACTATGTTTAATCACAAGAAAATCCATATGTATACTAGAGAACGAAAGAACGAGAGAAGTATGATCGATTTGTTCCTGGTGGATGACCTACTGCGAAAACAGGTGATGGATACGCGAGTGTTCAGGGGTGCTGACCTGGGAACGGATCACTATCTAGTGATTACTAGATTTAGGGGTCTGTTCGCGGGTTGGCGCTACCGGACGGCAGTAACAGAACCACAGTCGGTCTGTCGCATCCGAAGCTGGAAGCTTCAGGAAGCGGATACTAGGGACAAATATCATGCGAGGGTAGCCGAAAAGCTTGACACCATCGATGGCAGAAAAGAATGTGTAGAAAGAACATAGCAGAACCTTAGGTATGGAATGGTAAGTGCAGGGGAAGAAGTGTGGAACAATAAAAAGAGGCAGTAGTAAAAGAAGAGATGCATGGTGGAATGTTGAAGTGAAAGAAGCTGTAAAGAAGAAGAAGAAAGCATGGTTAGACTACCTGGCCTCTAGTAATGATAAGGATATGAGAGAGAAGATGAAAGAAAGATATAGGCTGCAGAAAGTTCACACGAAAGCATTGATTGAGGAAGTGCGTGAAAGGTGTAGAATGGAAGCGGAAGAAAGGTTGTCGCACAACTTTAAGGAGAACTTCAAAGTCTTCTGGAAAGAGATTGGAAGGACCCGAAGTGGTGCGACGGCCTTAAGAATGAACAAAGTGCTTTCGAGAACTAATGACGTCCTCTCAGAAAAATTGGACGTCATGCAGCGATGGAGCGAATTTTATAGAGAAATATATGCGTGTGATGATCTTAGTGAGGGATCCGGGGATGACGCCGTGACTGGTATGCCAGATCCGGACCTCTATGACACTGAGGTCATCAGTATGAAAGAGATTGAACGTGCGATTCGAAGTTTGAAATGTGGTAAGGCTGCGGGACTAGACATAGTTACTGCTGAAATGGTCAAGTATGGTGGGCCTCGCGTCTGGGACAGCTTTCATCTGCTGTGCAATTTGTGCTGGCGGACGGGGGATGTCCCGGACGATTGGTGATCCGCAGTCATTGTGCCTTTATATAAAGGTGAAGGTTCACATTTTGACTGCGGGTGCTATCGGGCGATCAGCTTGACCAGTTTAGCAAGTAAAGTTTACTCGAAGGTTTTGACATGTAGGATGCAAGAGAAATCGGAAAGATTTCTATGGGAGGCACAATGCGGATTTAGACCTGGAAGAGGATGCACGGATCAAATGTTTTCTCTCCGGATGATCACGGAAAAGCTTCTGGCTGCTAACTAGAAGATTTTCTGTGCTTTTGTGGATCTTGAGAAAGCATTTGATAAGGTTGTAAGGAAGAAAATGTGGGAACTGTTGCCGGGGTATGGTGTGGATGGTCGACTGCTAAGGGCTGTACAGTTACTTAACTGTGACTGTAAAGCCTGTGTGCGGGTAGGGCATGACCTGTCACCCATGTTTAGCGTCCAAATGGGCGTAAAACAGGGTTGTGTCATGTCTTACTGGCTGTTCATACTGTATATCAACAGCTGTTTACAGAAGCTGAAAGATAGCTGTTT